GTGGAGGCGCCGCCTCGTGATTCAGAGGCGGCTGCAGGCGGAACCGAGAAGAGAGCGGAGGCGGTCATTTCAATCACAGTACTTATATCCTGTATCCTTGTTTCTGACAGACTGCACACATCAGGACAGAGAGAATCCACCCGTTTTCCCGCTTGCCTGAGCGTGGCTAGGTAGACAGCCTTTCAGGGTTTGAAAGTAGACTGCGAAGTTTTAGAGCTGTTACTGAAGTCGGACTTACAGAACCTGCAACTGAGTGTGATGCAGGGCGGACAACACGGCCAGTCCTAGAGCTGGGATCTGCGGAGAGTGCATTCCAATTTGGGTGGGGTAGGGTTGAAGAAGTTAAACGTGAAGGTGTATGAACGGAGACATCAGAAGTAGCGTGTTTCCGCTTACTCGTCCTGATGTAGTAGCAAGTAAGGCAATCCGGTTGGTGACACCACGCGGCGGCCGATGTGGTATGAATGTAATGTTAGTTGTAAGTGCCATGGTTGTACTTGAGATGGGATACTGGAATACCTCAATCAATCCTTTGGCTCAAGTGACTAACCACAAGGTAACGATGTTTGTGGTGAGTATTGCATGTTGTTGCTTCCGGATTTAGACGAAAACTCACGAGCAGACTATACTCATCAGGTACCTCTTGTGCACGATATACCCGGAAGACATATTTGAAATGCGTTCTGAGATTTCTTTAGTATGTTATGTCAGTTGACTGTTACCTCTTTGTTTCATTAATGAGCAAGTAGTAGAGTGCTGTCGGATGAGCGTAGCCTTAGTCAACCCATCCATCTAACAAATGTGACTCCCCAACCCAAATAAAGGGATGGAAACTAGGAAATCCATATGAACTTCGTATTCCACAAACCTGAACATGAGACTATGTCATATGTCGTTTTGGCCAGCAGCTGATTGTCTTTTCCTTGTTTATCCGAAAGATCTTTCTTCCAAAATATCCTCCAACTTGTGTGTGCACAGTCCACATTTTCTGTGACATTTACTCGTAACTGACCGCACCCAAATGGTCACTTTCTTGTCCCTTCACCTGGTCTGGTGCTGAACATAATCGATTTGGGTTGTCTGTGTGTGAGTGTGCACCCACGGTTCACAGATATACGTAACTAGTTCCACGGATGTGTTAGAACTTATTCGTCCTCAGTTCATTTGGATCTGCCAAACCAACTTTTGTCATGTCACTTTTCATCCATCCGCGTGCATTCCTCATTAACCTCTTTCTGGAATTTTCTAGTGTTGTTTATCTCCTGTGCACCGCTGCTTTATTACTCTTAAAAACGTGTTATCCCAACCCTAGTGTATGTCGGAACCAATTGAAGAGCGTTCCTAAATTAATGCAAGCTTATGACAAATGCACTCATTTGTAAATCAATTTGATTTTCACGGGAGACTCTATTGAATCTCTCGTTTAGGATGTTCTTCAACTGAATGTGCTACACACAGGCCGCCTCATGTTTCAGTTGGTACGATATTCGAGATATCGCAGTGTAATTTCATAAAAGAAACTACTCACAAGGTTGCTGAAAACTCCCCAACAACCCACGACCGGTTTCGCCCTTCTTGAGGTTCATCAGGTAGGCGCAGTCCCCGAGTTTCCGTCAACTTTATGCTCTACTTGAACGCAGGATTAGTTTGCACGGAAATCATCATTGTCGACAATGGCAAGTACGGGCGCTTAGTTGTTATACAACCTTAATGATAGTAATCGTTCAACTGTAACACCCTTTCGGCGCCTAGCTGTCATGACACACAAGGGCTGGGATGCTGCCAAGTTAGCCAAGCCTAGACGGGAGCAGTCGAGATGCCGGGTAGGGGTTCGAGCTATGGGCTTTCCGGTCAGTAGGTTTACGCCCTAACCGCTAAACTATCTCAATCAAACACCACACTAACAAGTGCAAAGAAGGTATGAAAGGTGGAGAGTTCGTGCAAGAAACACTGTCCTTGGATGCAAGGGCAAGAACGGACATTCGAACAGCGCTGCATTATACACATCTGGATGTTATGGGCATGTGTGGAATCTGCCAAGCATCATAAACGAACCTCACTCAGCACCAATTCGGAAGGTGATGTCAAACAAATTTCGGCCAAGCAATCTAGTGAAAGCGTCCGCTGCTGCGATCGGTGGCGTGCCATTTCTTGTGGATCCTCCAAGCGTTTTCAGAGCGAATTAATTGAAACTCAATCAGTAGGACACGTGGATCCAATGACAGTTGATTTGACTGCTTGTCTATCGTGTCTCTTTGACATGGCCTGACCATCGTGAACTTTTCGCCCGCAGATACTAACTCGTTACCGGATACTCTTTTGTGTACCACTTCTTTACGCTTACAATTTATTCAAAGGCGTTTCCGGGTCTTCAGAGACACCAATTTGGATCGCTGGTTTCTAATGATTGCATTGACTTCCGCAATTACAATGCGATCAGGGCTAGGGGATATAAAAATCGTTTTACAAAAAAGTCTAGGGGGTCCTGAGAGTGGGGAACACATTTCGAGAAAGGTGACAACCTTCCATATTCTATTTGAAACGGATTGCCCTCACTGGTGGTCCTCGGGTGGCTCAACAGTGTCACCTGCTCAGTCCAAACCTGCCAATCTTTCCACAGGTACCTGGATTTGCGGTCCCTTGGATTGTGCATTCCACGGGTGACCGATTCGAACTGGAAGAGAGGGCGTTTCTACCAAACCCTCATGGTGTGGGAAGACCTTGAGATGATCACTCTTTGGCCAGTCGTATACGGGTTGAGAGTCTATTTTGAAGTCACAGAAAACAGTGTTTGTTGACCCGCGGGATGCGTGTCACTGCCCGGCTTTCTGGCTATTCGGTTGAGATCTCACTGGATGCCCACGGACTTGCATCTCGCGTGCCACTGTTAACGGACCTAAGTCCAGTGCCCACATCGGGTTCCTGTGTATAAAAAGACGGTGGATGAATGTCTGATTTCTCAGAAACGCGTTTTCCTTTCACTGGGTTCAAACAAAGTGTGCAGACTCACCACCGTATTCAATGATGGAAGCTCACCTGGTTCAACAGCCTAGTCCCCTTCTAAGACAGAAAGGCATATAAATATTTCGTAAACTGAGGAGATGTAAAGAGATATACTGCTACCCGATTTGGACAGGTCCAGATACGGAGGACTGCCGGTTCGCTCAGTTTCCAATCCTGTATTTGCTCAGTTCATTCACTCTTGGGTCCTGTTTTACGGATTGGCTGAAACATCTCACCTTTTGTACCACACAGACTTAATTTGGGTTTACGTCTGACTGCCCTTCTAGCCGAGTTCTGCGCTGAATCCGAAGCGACACCTCAAGCAATCATACTCACCGTCAATTACGATCGATTTCCTACTTGGAAAACACTCTTAAATCGTTACCTGTTCAATTTTCGTATGTTTCTGTAACTTGTGATTCCTCTGGCCAAATAGGGTGCTCGTTTCCTGGGTTTTATGATAGTTTATATCACCAGAGCATGATGTGAATCAATCTATGTGTTACAGACCGATCAACAGTCAACAGTTGAAACCCGTCGCCAAAATTTGACGGTATTTTTTTCAGTGTGGCTTCAAGGTCACTTCAGCTAACACAGCTGCGGTCCAACCAGTACTACTGAGTAACAAAGGGTCATCGGCACAAAGCTATGATAGGTCTTCAGAGTTACCATTACCTCTTGCTTCTTCACTAAGCCGTATGCTTAGAAAACATTTTCGTGCTTGGGATGATAAAACTCGCACAAACTCCAAAACTCCTCAGGGAAAGCGATGAAAAAATAGACTGTTTATTGAAAGTCAATAAACTGCGCACAGCACTGGACGTGTGAATACAACGGCTTTACTGCTCATGTTTGCGTGTAAGCATGTGTAAATATATACGTATGTAAGTATGATGATGGGAGTGTAACGGTGATGCTACTGATGGGGGAAGCATGCAAGTAGTATGTTTTCTTGTAAATTCGCTTTGCGTCTCTTGAAAAGGGAGATCTGTTGCGGAATTTGTGGAGTCGATTTGTGGCATTTGCTTGGATTTGAACAATAGTCAATGAATATCCAGGAAAGGTCAGAAAGACGCGCTCAAAGAGAAGATGGATATTCAGTTTTTGTAAACAAGATGCATATGAGAGTTTTGCTTCCCTGTCCAATAGCCTGTAACTGTTCAGTTGGCATTTTCTGATAAAGAACTCCGCAGCGTAGGCATTCTTCCTTTTCGCGGGTAGTAGACAGCATTGTTATCTTCCAGTTGGGCGCGGCTCCTCAAGCTAACGGGAACTGTCCCACCAATCAGGGCCCCTCGTTTGAGTTGTCTGGTTGTCTGTTTGTATTCATCACTATTGCGTACTTGAAATGTATTGTGTTCATTTCATTCTATTGTATTGGAACCTTAATAGCGATTGGAACACTCTCTGTCAGATCTTTTCCAGACCGGGCCCGATGGTGCGGCCAACCGCATTATTATTTTCTTGTCTTTTAGTTTGAGGTCTGTTGATCTACGGGTAGGAAAATGTGGATGCCATTTTTTTTATTGACGCGGAAGGAATTTTAACCATAGTTTACCCGTTTCAATCTGTACAACACGGTCACTTAGATACAATGTTCTCACAGTCGTCTGCAGCGCGTGTCAGGAACGAGGAGAAAATCTATTTAGACTATCTCAGTTACCAGACAGATTGAGCCGTCCGTTTTTGTTTGCCCACGATTTTTCAGTCTTGGTTCTGGGTCGATTGTGCAACGATAGGCACTGGGTCGGTTGGACACGTTTGTGAACTACCCGAACTGCGTTTCGCCGCAGCTGATTTCACACGACTGTCGATTTCGCACTTTTGCGGAAATTAGCATTTGAGTCTGTCTATCCTGTCAGACCGTGTTCACTATACTTTTATCTTCATACCGTCAGCCGACTTCATTAATCCTGTCCTGTGATGTCCCTGATACGGTACACCTGTCCCATTATGCATGCTAAATGACAATAACGTCTGGCTTACTTTCCGCACAGTATTCGCGAACCGACACCAACTGGCACGAGTCGTGTGGCAGACTACTACTTGGCCAATGCCAGAGTCACTGGAGCCCTACTCTCCCGATTGGACGGTCTACCAGCTGGGCGGTCACATGAGGAACACACGGTAGAGCAGAAATCACTTGGTCGGCGAATGTCGCTCTCCTCCACCATATCATCTTCTTCATCGTCTGAATCCTCGCCCCTGTCAGCCCAATCGCCAATGATCTCACCATCGCGCATTCCCAGTGAGTCCAGCATCTTTGTGTGTTTATGCGATTCACCTAGACTACCACTCCATCTTGCATTATTATGAAGCAAGCATGGAGTTCAATAGTGTTTCGTATAAGCTTGGTGTTAACGCGAACCACGGACCTTCTGGTCAGTAAATTTGCGCTCTAACTACTGAGCCATATGAATTGAGGTCGACCACAACGCTACAAGTAACCTAGATTCTCGAGAAATACACTCATTTGCAAATCAATTTGGTTTTCACGGGAGACTCAACTGAATCTCTCGTTGATGATGTTCTATAACTGAATGTGCTGCACACAGGCCGCCTCATGTTTCAGTTGTTACGATATTCGAGATATCGCAGGATATTTTCATGAAGGAGACTACTCACGAGGTTGCTGAAAACTCCCCAACAGCCCACGACCGGTTTCGCCCTTCTTGGGGCTCATCAGGCAGGAGCAGTCCCCGAGTTTCCATCAACCTTATGTTCTACTTGAACCCAAATCGGATTCCATCCTTGACTGGCCATTCCATTCAGGTCATCATCTCATCTGGCGTAAATTTTTGACAAGTGTTCCCGGAATACCTATGAAGCAAACAACATGTTTAACTGTCGAGAGTTTTTTCCACTCCGCTTTAAAAACCGCATCGTCAGACATGTAGTGTTTATGCGGGCCCACCGGATGAACACTGCACCTCAGGAAGGTCACTGTCTCTCTTCGATGCGAGACACTGCATGAATTCGAATGGGGTGCACAATTAAGCCAGAAGATATGTTAAGTGCCAACGCAAGAACCACCTACGTCTGGATACGGAAATCTCGTGGAATCAGAGGGCCCTGGAAAGGAGAGAAGCTAGCGCAGCTTGGAACATTCGGAAACTTTTTCACCTGGTTCACAAAACGATACCGAATAAACCGGATGTCGCCGGTTATGATGTGGGTAATTTAGTATACAGCAAGACCAAGCGTGGTCTTTGGTTTTTTTCTGAGTTTGACAATCATGTGGCGATCGAAAAACCAAAGCCTATCTGCCTCCCCCCCCCCCCCCCGAGCTGCCAGCATTCTCTTCAGTTGTCAGAACCAGCTTATTAAAAAAAAATCGCTCAGCTGTAGCACCCTTTTTTTT